TTATCTCACCAATTAGATTCTAGTAGGTGTTAACAGCTGGGATTCAGCACTTTTTGTCCAAGGTCCACTCTTACAGGGAAATCATGGCTTCCCCATTAAATGTTTATATTCTTTTTAATACTATTTCTATTAAAGAGAAATATTAAACAAGTGACCATTGCCAGAAACAGTTTTCAGAAACACAAGTTTGTGTTAATTAAAATATTATAGGAGATATGAATATGTGATTCAAGACCTAGAAAGAAATGGCAGTGATGTGGGGATAGCAATGGCTGAAAAAATCATGAAATTCTGATCTAATTTGAGTAACATCAAATACAGTGAAAGAAATCATCTGAATTACTAAAAAAATCATTTTAGCTTAACTCACTAAAAAAAATGCTATTTTTTAAATTTAGCTTTACTCATTTAAAAAAAGTTATTTTTTAAAGGCGTTGGGCCAGTTTCTGAAAACACAGCACAGAAGCAGGTAACAGAGGATAATGTAATAATAGCTGTATGGAAGATTACTTCGAATAATTAGTGCTGCATGATATTCCCCCATAATCTAAAAGATCTGAAGCAACGCACGTTTAAGGTTGACCCTCCATGAAGTGGTATCTGGAGGTGTGTTACAGGCACTCCTTTTCTCCACACCTGTTTGCTGTGGCCTGAAATTCTATTATGAGAAGACGAGGCATTGATTCCCAAATTACAAATAAATAATGAAAGACACAACTGCCGAACAGAACTATCATATCAGCTGAGATACACTTACTTTTAAAAAGTATAACCAGATAATAAACAAAACAGGTAAGTAAATGGGATCAGGTTCTTTATAGGTTTTGATAACAAGGAGAAAATTAAGACTTACAAGAGCCATGGGCATTTGAAGGTAGGTTTAGAGTCATCAGTGAAAAAAAACAAGAAAAAAAAAAAGAAGTAAACTTCACCAATACATACTTAGTTCTGGCTCAGTTAATAATTCAGCTCCATGGACAATTAAAATGTGTAGGTGGAGAGCATTTAGAGCTGCACACCGTTGTATATACACACACAGGGGATGAAGCATATATGTATACGTGCAATGTTAGCAAATGACGTAGATCTACACAGCCTCCTGTGTTTAACAAAGTTTGTTTCTTGGCACTTGTTTGTTGACTGGATCAGCATACAATTTTTTTTAGAAACTTATTTTTGGAGGATTGACTAATCAAGAAATCTGTACTTCCATAAGGATAATTCCCAGCTAAGTATAAACTCACTTATGCAAGGGTACTTCAAAAAGTTTATAGAAAAATAGAATTAAAATATAATATGAATCTTTCCATGAACTTTTTGAAGACCCCTTCTACAGGTATATGCCCTCAGTGTTTTCTTGCTGTCATACAGACATTCGTGGGGGGAAAAGGAATGAAAGGATCACTAAAAAGGTGTTAAACTTTCTATTAGGGAGAAGATGGTAATTCAAGACTCTAAGGTACATTATTTGATTTTTTTCCTCCAACTATTAGCTATTCTCACTTGTCAAAATAACACTTGTGTACTTACTGAGGGATATAGTTTCTATCTCAAAGACTGTAAAATGTTTATTAAAATAATATATTTTATACGTTTGTAAAAGCAGCATATTTTGTATCAGACGTGGCTATCATCTCCTAATGACTTTTCCATTATTCCAAAGAGAGGAAAATTTTTATCCACATGATAAGCTATTTGTACATATGAATTCAGAGCCTGACACCAATGAAAGTAGAGTGTGCATGTATGTGTTGACAAGGAAGAAAATATATTCTGTTGTAAAATGAATTTGAACTAAAAAAAACTTAAAAAAAAATTTTTTTTGACAACACTGCAAAGCCAGGGGGTGCTGCAATATGGTAAATCAATTTTATTGTTTGAACATGGCAGTTAGTTGTCATGACAACCTTCTTAAACTGTAACCTGAAGACAACTAGATCAGAACCAGTGTATTCAGAAAGATAAGCTGATAACTTCAAGAAAAAGTTTGATGTTGGGTTTAGGGTAGAACACAAAGCTATAAAGAACAGTATAAATCGTAAATACATAATTCAGATAATTTATTTAAAACCAGCACATGCCAATCTCAGTAGTTTTGTTGTAGTTTCACAGCAGAGAATGCTTACCATGTAAATAAATGAGAGGTAAAGAGAGGAATGAATCACCTTTAATTTTAAATCACTTCTATATTTGGGCTGAGACTTTTTTTCACAGCACTTACCATTTTTTAAAAACCAGGTAGCTTATTAGATGTTTAAAACCAAACAAACTACTTCTTTTAACCTGATTTCTCTTTTCCTTTCAGAAATAGCAAACAAATTATTTTTTAAAATTAATTCAAAGTGCTAAATAAATATATAATTTTAGCATCTCTGACATAATTTAGCATCTCAAAACCACTCTTTAAAATCATCAAATATTCTACTTGAAGCAGGGATGAGTTTTGCCAGAATTGGAAAACATTAGGAGAGGAATTTGGTTTTGTATCTTCTACCTGTTTGTTTTTTTAGATTTTAGCCCATTTCTAACTTCATATGGGTACCCGCCCCCCTTCGAAATGGAAGATAATTTCTGGCATGGTACAATGAGCTCTCAGTATTAGTTGTCATACAGAACTTTCATACCAAAGCAATATAATGCATCCTCCAGGTGGTTAGAAAGCAAATGAAGAGACCCAGAGGTGAGCTATTTGGGGAGGGACTAGAGAGCTTCTACCCATTTAGTGTGGCAGCATCTCCAGAAAATGTAGCTGACAAACGTAGCCTACATGAGAAGATACATACAGTTGCCCAGATCTGAGGCTTTGTTGTTTTCATTTAAGTATAATGGGACTAGTCAGTGTCTATCACAGACTGTTTATGGAGATGAGAGTCTTGGGCACCAACATAGCCTCTGTAATATGCGTCCAAATTATCTATTTTCATGCGTTTTAATGGAAAAAAATTCAGTAAATGCCTTATGCAATTTCATCTAAGTACAAATTTAGGATAAGCACTTTGGTTTTAATGCCAGTTATATTAGATGGCAAAATAAATTAGTTTTCTCACCTATGAGATATGTGTATTGTTTTAGACAGTCTCTACTCCAGTCTCTTTGGATTCTAAGATTCTCTCTCCTCATTGTATATCTTTTTCTCATTAAACTGCAATACTCAATAAAAGGTCAATTATTATATCATTAAAACTTTTATCTGTTTGCTTTTCTCAGGAAATAAGTACCTGGCAAGAAAGCATATGGTCTCTCGAGTAGAAAAGATATCCAAGCAAAGAAATAGATGTGGAGGGGCTGGGAGTTGGCGAGATTATGGACAAACTTATTCTGGGATGGAAAGCAATAAAGATATTCCCCTGAAATGGATAAAGATAAATATATATATATGAAGTGATACAAATCTATAGAAGGTCTTATTGCATTGTACTGCAGCTAAAAGTTGTAGAACCCATATCTCTCGTACCTATGACCAGAGAAACCACACTACTACTACTCTCTATTTTACTTACCTTCAAAGATGACATTTGAGATTTGAACTTGATTTGGCCAAAAATGAACAACAAGTAAACAAAAAGATTGGTCCCTTCCAGCTAGTTCTGAGAAACGAGGTTGTTAACAATCTGCCCCCTTGGCAAAGAAAGACCCAAAGATACACATTCCTCCCTCCTATGAGATTCTTGGATTTAATTTCAAGGAACACTTTTCTAGATTCCTTCTTTGCCATCCATGAGCTTTGTATTGTTTGGGTTTATCTCGATCTGGGTACAAAATTTTGGGTGTTTATTTAGACTATATTCCTCAATGTTGACCCAAATGAAGTTCATCTGCAGTGGAAAGACTGACTTCTAGCTCCATTAAAGAAAAAAAAGAATCATAAAGACATTTGACATAAGTGGACACCTCTCTGTTCAATTTTACCAAAATTGTGAATTATGTTTCATTTATCTTTGCAGAGTTCCTTGTTTTAATATGTTTTCAATAGACAACAAGGCACCAAAAACCCTGGGTAAATAATACATGTTAAAAATAGCTAGTACCTAACAATGTGACTGAAACAATTAGAGTGCAGAAAACTCTCACATGAGAAGCCAACTAAAAACAGAGGTTGGCATGATGCTGTTTCTTTGGTTCTTTTCAAATTAATACAGCTCACTTGCTCCAAACTCATCTCTCCCACTTAAAACTATTTAGGTTGTCTTTGTTTTGTTTGTTTTTCATCTCCTAAAATATACAATTGTGGATCCTATTCTTGGCATAATTTAATTTTTTTCTTGTTTTTTATAGATATCCATAGTGCCAGCATACATTTGTATGTGCTAACTATACATATGCCTTGTTTTCACACTCAGAGAGCAAAGAAACAATTCTGAAAGAAAGCCTCTCCCTAGCCAGATTCCATTAGTTTGTGTTCTTCAAATGCACTATAACACAAAATTCATTTCTTCATTTGATGTCTAGTTGCTAAGAAACACAGCCAGAAAGTTCATCTTTGCAATGTGACAGAAAACCAGTAGAGATCCTGATGATTGCCCACAGAACCTCTGAGCAAAGGGAATTACACTTTTGTATTCTAAACTGGAAGAGCACACCATTATTGAGAAATAGCTATTTTTACCCCATGTACAATGGAATAAAAACAATGATTTCCATTTCTCTTTGGAAAAAAACCCAGTAGCTTTTCTAGATGTATGATCTCTCAAGTCATACCACATATTTTGAAGAGAAGCCGTATTACTGTTGCCTTTCAATACAAAACGGGACTCCTGAAAAGCATATAAAATTTCTGAAATGTCTTGTCATGTCCACCAAACAAAATGATTTAACTTCGTTTTTCTGAAAAGCAAATTTCTACAGAGACAGGAATCTGACAGAGCAATAAACACCATCTGAATCATTTTCAAATGTCTGACCAAAGTTTGCTGGGCACATGTAAAAGGTGTTGTGTATCTTAAAACCCTGAAAGATGTAATGCCATCAGAGGATTTCATAAAGTCCTGAAAGATACTTACATTTTGCTGTCACTTTGTACCCTCCCAGAGGAGGGGTGTGGCCTTCTAATGCATCAAATCCCGCGGAAACTAGGACCATGTCTGGATCAAACTCTTTGGCCACAGGCATCACAACAGTCCTGCACAGTAAAAAGGCACCAGTCACACATGGGAATGGCAAATACCTTTAAAAATCATTCAGTGAAAACGATTTGGCACAACCTCAAGAACTTCCCAAGAAAAAAGAAAAGGGGGAAAGAAAACACGATTTGAATGGGTCAAAACTTATCTTTTTCTTAATACTGAATCATTGTTATATTAGCATCTCAGTTCAGTCTTGTTTCTTTCATCTTCTTTCTCCAAACTGGAAAAAAAAATGCGTTGCAGGTACCTTCTGAAGCCTGTCATATTACACACACATCTGTGGTTGTTTTATCCCACTGCCTGTAAAAAACTGCTTCTTCCAAGGGAGTGACTAATGTTTTACAGAGGAAAGTCGAAGCTTTAGTGAAAACCTGGCTTGCTCCACTTAGTGAGAACTTGGTGTAAATTTGAACTATAAATTTCTTCTGAAAAAAGTTTGCTTTCCCAACTTTAAAATATATATATATTTTTAAATACATGTCATGGTAGGGGGTGACTCTTGCAAAGGAAAAACATGAAATTCCCTTAATAGAATCCAGACTGTAATGTTAAGAAGTCCCTAGTCAGACACACCAGGAATGTGGCAATCTCATCTATGACAGCATCCCCTGCTGGCCCCATTCAGACATTTAGTACTTACCTCTTCATCTTCCCAGGGCTCCCTGACCCCTCTCTCATCAGTACTGGTTTTGAGAGAATGACTAATGGATGCTACTGGGCTTTATAAAATCAACATTTTGTTAATGAAGGCTTCAACACCCATGTGCCATCATAAAAAATCAAATTTCAAAGACTAATTAATGAAATGGGAAAACTGTATACTATAGTGAATTTTAAAAGTAGTAAGATCTCTATTGTGTGTTTGTGAGAAATAACTAAAAAAAAATTAAAAGTTACCCTTGGGTGGTGACATAACTAGTTCTTTGAATTTTTTCATGTTTGTAAATTTCTCAGATTTCTACAATGATCATATATTCATTTTAGATTTAATACTTTTCATTGTATGTCTTAAACAAGAAGTTGTTGGTTATAAAATAAAAAACGTTTAATTGAAACTTACCTAAATAGACACTTTTTAGAAATAACTCTACTACTGTCATGAAAGTTCTATCCTTCAAGCTCATAAATGTACTTGTAGGTGACTTCCACAGTAGTCCTCCCAGCAATGGGAAAACCACATAAATCTGAATTGGTCCATCAGTGAAACTAAGTGAAAACCTAATTTTATTTGTCTAATTTCATTATGTTTTTTCTTTAATACAATTAAGAATCTCTAATACAGCTACATCATCAGAAAAGATATTAGATTCTTCCCATTCCCAATAATATCAACTTTTACATTGTAGTTTTCATAAAAAGTGTCACATATAGTCAATTTTATAATCAAATCAAACTATTTTGTTTGTTTGTTTTTAGGTGGCTGACAGGTATGGGAACTGAAGTATTTACTATTTTTTTATATGAATGAAATAGCCATGTGCTGTATGTTGTTGGGGTATTAGATACTGAAATAAGTTCTCTCAAAGAATCAAGAGTGTTTTATCAAGATACTCTATTTAATTGTATTAATCCTAAATGTACTCCTGTAGTAGATTGAATTATGTACCCCCAAAACTCACTTGAATTGTGTACCTCAAGTTTTATGTATTAGAAATTTGGCCCCCACTGTGACTGTTAAGAGGGTGGGAAATCCAATTGCGGTAATCAAAAGGTGGAGCCTTGAAGGGGTGATTAGATTATAAGACCATGCAGAAGTGAGTGGATTCAAAATGGTGGTGAGTGGTTTGTTTCTGAGGGCTTTAAAAAGAGAATGAATGAGGAGGTTAGTCTCTCTCTGCTCTCTCTACTTCCACCTTCTTCCAATGTGAGACCCCTGGGTCCCTGTCGCCACCACCAGATGGACTTTGGACTTCCCAACCTCAGAAACTGTAAGCAATAATTTTCATTTTCTTACAAATTACCCAGTTCTGGGTATTTTGTTATAAGCAGCAGAAGTGGACTTATACAACTCCCTTACAGAACAAATGATACTCTTACAAATATCAGTAGGTAGATGGTGGAACATGGTTGCACAACCAATCATATGCATCATAGTAATCAATTTTCCATATCCTTTCCTTCTACTGGAAGGTCATGCCTCCCCCTACCTACCTTCTTTTTTCCCCAGTTAATCTACATCTGTCTAATTTTTGCCTATTCTTCAAGGCACAGCTCACTTATTACCCCATAAAGTCTTCTCCCTACACATGGAGATTAAATATACACACATATATATTTGAAGGACAAAGAGGTAAGACATGAGAAAACAGAAGGCAAAGATTGCCAACATAATTTTAGAATATGGAAAACACAGAGATGATCTACAGAGTGAAAGTGACTTCAGAGAAAAACCCACAAAAAGCAAGCTGATTTTTCCCTCTCTTCCGGGAGAAACTAACTACCAAAGAGAAAATACCTAGAGAGTCTGACAGTTGTGTGTCACCAGACTACAGTCAGCTTGTTTTTCCAGTCTTCCTGTAGTGAATCCTATAGTGATCAGCAACAGAAAAACCCCACTCAGATGCTCAGTTTTCAGTGCCCCTTTCTCAAATACGATGAACTGCTCCCATTTGTTTAAAGAGAGCTTCTAGCATGAAAGACAACAAAACTAACGTGCAAACAAACAAAAGAAAGTGAATTCAGAAAACCAAAGAAAATGCAAGGAAGAGAATATAATTTCAAAAATTAGAATTATCCTTAAAGACATAATAGTACATCTATGAAACAAGAAGAGGGTGCTACGGAAGAAAAAGAAAGAAAGAAACTGCAAACATAAATTATACAGTAGACTGGTTGGAAGATAAAGTTGGCAAGTTCTCTCAGAAAGAGAAACAAGAAACAGAGACCTGGAAAATGTCAAGAATAGTTCAGAAACTTAGAGGGCCCATGTAGGAGAATCAATATCTGAAGAAAAGTCTAAGGGATTTTTTGTTGTTAATTTAGAATCCCATATCCATCAAAATTGCCCATCAAAGCTGAGAGTAGAATAGTAGAATTTCAGACTTTCAAAACCTTTAAAAAATAGAATGTCCCACAAATATTTTCCCAGGAAGGCACTGAATGATACACTACATCAAAATGAATACAAAAATTAAGAAAGATAAAAAGACACAAACCACTCCCCCCACTGAAACATTTTTATGGATTTTATTTTTTCCAAAGTTACTTTTTAATTTTTAATTTTTTAACTTTTTAAAAAACTTATTCTAACCTTAGATAAATATAATAGAAATTTGCTCTGCCATTGGAAATTTGGCATGGGATGGAGGAGGTTTTTATTCCAATGCAAACATTTTGTTAATAAAGACATCTTGCCTACTTACAGTGAAAATATATCTCTCTATGCTGTATGCCTCTGAATATACAGAATTCTGTTTCTCTGAATATACAGAATTCTGGTTTCTCTCTGAAACAAATTGCACATTTGTTATGTGGGTTATTCAAGAATTCACAAACATAAATTTTACAATTTCACACAGGTTTTCAAAATGCTTCATCTTGAAGGACTAATCCTGTACATTTCAATTCACTCAAAAAATTAAGAAATAGATGGAAATTTTTGAAAAAAACAATACATTACCAGATAGACTGCTTCTGTTTAAAAAATATATATGCCTAGAATTGTGTCTGAGTGGTAGTTGTTTGCTGAATGAACTATGATGCATGGTTAGAACAGATTTGTGTAATGTTATGTTGTAATAGAAGCTGAATGTTTTCTATTAATTTAATGCTTATAGATGGTGATATTGGTGGGGTTCATTCATTCATTTCAGCAAGTATATTAAGAGTTTACTATGTTGCAAACACTTTTTTGGCTTGAAAATGTGCTCAATTTTAAACTCTATCTTATTTACTTTCCTACCTTTGACATTAAACTCTTTCTTGCTCACCTCTCTGATAACATGATGAAATACTTCACAGATCTCCTTATTTTAGCAATTATCTTAGGAATGTCCAGGGAGGTGTTTGTACTCTTGTTTGTGCCAGTCTAAGTTGATTTTTATTTAAAGATCTATGGTGTCTGAAAGATTGGAAAATGTGTTTGGAAGTACTAAGTGGGAAAAACAATGTAATCTTTTCTTAAATAGAACAAATCCTTGAAGGCATCCATTTAAAATTTTATTTGAAGAATTGGGTTTTCTGGTTAGATAGCTAACAGAGCTTATACATTTGTCACCCTTTCCCAATATCCCACTGAAAAGAAAGTACAGGCATATACATATGAACTCATGGTTTTTAATATATAATAAGTTAATAAACACAGAAATACCTTTAGATGTGTGTGAATGCTTGGGTTAGTATATATTTTTTAAAAGAAATGACACCACAGTAACAAGGAGCATAGTTAATATCCAGATGTTGCTTTCTAATATCAAGCTCCAACGAAAGGACCCATGGATCCTTGAAGAAGTGGTTGATTCCAGAACCGACTCAGGGAAAATAAAGGTGACTCCGGAACATCTTGTGGTGATGAAAAGCAATGAAATGCTCAAAAAGGGATGGGGACATATCAATTGGGCATGTAAAACAATGTGAAAGCATTCCTAACAGCCAAAGCTGGAATAATTTGAGGAACAAAATAAATAATGATAGTATCAGACTGTAATTCATACGATCAAATGAACATTCACGAGTCTATAGTGAGATAAATAAATAATTGAATAAATAGGAGAGAAAATAGCTCTTCCTTACAGAAAACTATCAACTAATAAATGCAGAAGAATTGAGGGAAATAGACAATTACCACTTGAACAAGACAGAAATAATTGATGCAGGCGAGATCCACGGATGGATGCTAAAATTAGTAAACAACATAACATTTGCATAATTTCAATGTATCTTCCCCAAGGTATTACGAAGGAGAAAACAGAAACTTTACAATGAAGAACACTGCAGACATCACCTTAATGAAGTGATCAAGCTTAGTATCTCCAGTGATATGACACATCAACATCAGTACTCCCTGATATGAGGTACTGAGAAAGGCAGACCAGTTCTATGATTCTTGCCAAAAATATATAACTTCAAATCCATTAACAAGAAAATATCAGACAAACATATATTGAGGGACATTTGATTAGGTAACTGACTTGTAGTCATCAAAAATCATGGCCATGGAAGACAAGAGAAGACTTAGGGATTGCTTCAGATTGGAGGAAACTGAGGCGGCAGGGCATTTAAGTGCAATTTGGGGCCCTGGATTGTATTCTGGGAACATCCATGGAAAAACTTCAGTCAGCAGCTAGCAGCAATGTACAAATACTAATTTCTTTTTTTTTTTTCAGATTGCATAAAAATCAGGATCTAATTTATATATTTATTTTTTTTTAATTTTTATTTTTATTTTTAAAATTTTTATTTTGTCAATATACACTGTATATGATTATTATGGCCCATCACCGACACCTCCCTCCCTCCTCCCTCTCTCCCCTCCCCCCCAAGAATGTCCTTTCCGTTTGCATGTTGTAGTAACTTCATGAAAGTATAGTTCGG